AACTCAATATGAGACAAAATTTGACTAACTGAATTAATCTCCAGTAACACATAATTGTTCCTTACCATGGTCAGTCCAGGCTGCATCCCAGCTTTGATAGCCTCCACCTGTGTAGGAGTAAACTGGATGGCATTTCTGTCAAAAACAATAAGCAATACTTATATCAGCCAGTTTTTACACATATACTCTATACCTATATCCTCCATAACCTTATGGCTATAATGTGGGCACTTGAATAAATGATTCCTGACAAAAACAAACTATCCTCCTTTTGGTCCAGCAGACATTAGAAAAGTGTAAATGCAACACAATATTACACTGAGTTCTTTTTAGCATTCATGCTTATGTACGTGCTAATAAAAATATATGGCTAATTTCAGTGTAAAAACACAATTAAGTATACATAGAAAATATGAAAAAAATTATGTAATTAATAAATCTATAAAACACTCAACTTAAAATTATATGCAAAGTGTACACTTCTCTTGTTTGAGAACATTTACCTCTTAGGCTGACTATAAGGGTAAGGACCTCTGTTGGGAATAACATGGGGTTCAACCAGTATTGTATTCTCTGGAACCTCCTCCTCTTCGTCTGCTTTCTTCTTTCCAGAGTTAGATGGGAAGGTTAGTCTAAAATACACATTTACGGACATGTCAACTCAGCTTGATGTAGATTAAACACTCAATACTTAAACCATGTACAAATGAGTCAAGCAATGTAACACTGTTACTGTACATATTTATATATGTTTCTGTGCCAATAACAATCAAATTACATATAAAATAATAATACCTGAAAGGAGGCACAAGTTTGGCTGGATCTGTCACCTTAGGCTTTAAAGTCCAGCCAGGGAAACATGACACCAAGTGGTCATAGTTCAGAAAAGTATCATTCCAGTCCAAACTGCTGATAAAATTTGGCATCCTGAAAAAGGATTATGTACTATGGAGATCAGAGTATTTTTGTTATGCAAACCAATATCCATTTGTCTTTTGCTTCACACTAAAAAATAAAATAAATTTTGAAAAGGGGGTACGCAATCAACAAAATATTTTTGCAATACCTTAAAACTGTTTGTTGCTCAAACAAGATGTTATGAAATATGAAGAAAATAAATCATACTTTATCACAAGGCACATTTAAGCATAGATTACTAAGTATGCTGTAAATTCTAGATGAGGAGTTAAAAACTGTAGCAAAACAATTGACAGAACTGAACAGAAACTAAGTTAATTGAAATCCTGATAAACATTCACATACACAAATGCACACATACTGACATACAAACTGTGCAATCACTATCCATGTAAACAGGCAATATGTGTATATGCATGTGTAGATAAGTAAATATATTTTATTCAATATTCCCTCACTTTGAGTAATGTGCTGCACCAGGGTCCCCATAGCCCAGAATAATGTCGTGTAGCCAGTCAGGTACCACACACTGGGTGTTCATCAGGTCTCTTATAGTTTCCAGAACAGCTTTGAAATTATTCTCCTTTGGTCTCCTCCTCATCATGATGTTAAAGGTCTCATAAACATCCTGTGAAATAAAGGAAAGAAATATATATATGTACATGTGATTCATATAATTCCACTGGTATATGCATATACAACTCTGTCTCAGCCACTAATGTTTATCAATCTGTATGTTGCCCATGTCTTAATGAAAGAAGTGATTTGGAAATAAATGTGGTTTGGCATAGGGATGTTGTTTGCAACAGTACTTTAGACACTGCCTCAAGAAATATGTTACTTACTCACCAATTTTAAACAACCATCATTCCAAATAATTTTTTTCCTATTCAAGTAACACATTTCTTCTAAAAATCATTTATAACATAAATCTATATCACTATTCAGAATTTTGAAATTGAAGTCTTAAGTAATTACATTCAAAACTTTACATTTTGGGAAATATAACTGATATAATTAAAATGTAGATATTTAGTGAGAAATTGCTGTAATATCCTTACCTCTTTGCCTTCCACAGTTTCTGCCATATCTGTCTGGTACTGGTTAGGGTCCAGCCACACTCTGTATGTCCTGGTGTCTCCTGGCAAGTCGGGCTTTGGTTCTGGACCTAAAATAACAAGGGATTGTACTTCACAATAACACTGCAATATAAACAATGGCAAACGCAGGTATAGTTGAAATGGAGTTACACAGAGAAACATCATAATACAACCAAGCTATATTGCTTAAGCAAAACACACACACACACACACACACACACACACACACACACACACACACACACACACACACACACACACACACACACACACACACACAGTCTGGTCACATAAAACTGCTGATAAAAATTTCAAATTAAAACGTTCTCATCTTCATTCAGGCCAAATCACTCATTACTTAATGTAATGTGCACCTATACACTACCATCCACTTTTGTAATCACATTACACAGCAGCAGTTTCAACATATACTCTACTTACCCTCCTCAATTACTTTTCCATCTGCATCCAGCAAGCCCTCAATTTCACATCCTCTGACATAGGTTAGTCCAACTTGTGGTATAAAGGGCTCTTTGTGGTTGTATCTCTTCCCATAGCCATGCAGAGGACGTACTGTCACCAGGAATGCCACATCATGTTTTCGCAGATCTGCAATTAGAATTAATGCATTAGACTAGAGCTTATTTTAAAAACGGTGTGTTACCACATCCAATGAAACTTACTGAGCAATATTTAAGGGAAAATCAGTCTTGTTGTTTCCAAAAACAGCAGGTTCTTAAGAAAAAAGTAATAGGAAAATCAATTAATAGACTGGACATAATGGACAGAACAGAGGCAGAGACTGAGATTTCCTTACTTTCCCATTCATTTTTGATTTCTGGTCTGACACTCAGATGCAGAGTGATGTCTGCCCTAACCCTGGCCGGGTGGTTCTCTCCCAGATTGGGCTTAGCAACCTGTTACCAAATAATACAGTCATAAGTTATAGATTCACAAATGGTCATTAACTATAATAAGAAAACAGTACCTTGTTCCTTTTTTCAGTTGTGAAAGCAAAGGCTCGAAATCATTTGCATTATTTAATTAATGAAACAACCAATATTGCAAAGACAATCAATACGGCATTAAATTTTTACCTCTACCACACTGAAGGAGACAATGGGTTGAGCCATTCTAGCCCAGCCATTGAATAAAGTAGTGCCATCTTCTGCCTTCCAGGGCTGCATCTTGCTCACAGACTCTTCCACATCCTGACGTATCTCATCTGAAAAAAACATTAGTCATTTTGAGAAATGAACCAAATTTAAATGATGAAACATACACACTTATACCATCTATCTTAATTGATAATAAATAATTCTCCAATTTGAAAGAAATGCCACTTACATGTAGATTCCAGTCGGAAAAGGTGGAAATTTCTCAACAAGTAGTCATGTAAGGTGAGAAATTGTAGGTTTAGTTTGGGGAGGGCTAAACAACCTGTAAAACAAAATACATCAAATTAAGATTACACTGGAGGGTGATTGGACCAAAATCGTTGAGATTCAACAAATGAAATCATAAGAGAGTTTTTAATATTATGGCATTTTACTGAAACTGTACAAAATTTCAATCCTCACCTTCTCCAGAAAAATATGCAGTGGGGACAACATTTTCATCCCATATAACTTCTTCTGTGGGATACAAAGGCATGTCATTCAATGCCTCCAGTTGAGACTGTCTTCTCATATTTCTTGACACCTAATTAAATTAAAAAAAACTTGTAAAAATAGGACATGCTTTAACTGACAGAATAATTATCGATAGATTTTTTCATTAATTCAGTGTCTTGACTGTTTATGTTTACTAGACTTTTAAATTTTCAGGAATAATTAGGTGTGTAGTCTAAGATCGCATTCACAACGAGTTGAGCCAGGCTTTACAAATCCTGGAACTAAATATGGCGGACATACATGAAAGAAAAACCGCCTAATCTTTTAATAGTCTCTCCGCCTCTCACACACCTCCCCACACGTCGTCCCTGCGGGGTACAGTCATTAAATCTCGGCTCCGTTCGCCATGCGGAAACTACCTGAGAAATATTAAGTGCGCGTGCTCATCAATTAAACTCGAGGTGAAGAAAGCATGGCGGCTGGAGCCGATCGAAGGAAAAAATCTCTTATGTTCTATTATCTTTCAAAACAGAGACGAAAAAGAAATGAACTGGCCGGTAGAGCAGCAATAAATCAGCTATCTACGGAGATAATGTCACCAGAGATATTCACGGAGATAGGCCTACCCAGCTTATCAGCTGACCCAAGACCAATGAGCATGCACACTTAATATTTCTCAGGTAGCTACCGCATGGCGAATGGGGCAGAGATTTAATGACTGTACCCCCCAGGGATGACGTGTGGGGAGGCGTGGGAAAGGCAGAGAGACTATTAAAAGATAAGGCGGTTTTTCTTTCATGAACGTCCGCCATATTTAGTTCCAGGATTTGTAAAGCCTGGCTCAACTCGTTGTGAATGCGATCTAAGCAACTTCATTGTCAAAGTTTGGCAGCCTCTGAAGCAGATTGTAGGCATTCTTCTAAAATAATATTTTTAATCAGTTCAAAAGTTCTATTTGTCACTTACCAAGATTTCTAAGAGAAACTCAGAGTTATATGCATTCCCTTTGTTCTCTTCTGGAGGTTCGACTAAATTGAGATATGAAGCAATCTTCTGGAGATCAAGATTGCTGTAAACCAAACAGATATTAAATAGCAAGTGCCATTACACACTTTACACACAGTAGACATTGCACAGGTGGTAAAGTCACAAAATACATCAAAACAATGTTTGAATTAGTTGAATGTCCTTAAGGAACACACAATTTTGATAATCAAAACAGCATACACAAATATTATAGATGGATAACTAATAACTCAAAAGAATGTCAAATAATCTAAAAAGTTATTTACAAACATGAGGCATTTTAATGCTCTGAAAAGAAAATTAGACATTTAGATAAGTTAGGGCATAATTTCCCACTCTGGTTTTTTTACCTAAGTTCCCCAAAGTGCTTCAGCAGAGTTTCTCTTGTATCTACACTTCCAACATTGCTTACAGCAAATTTCCTCAGATCCTCTGGGTAATACTTAAATGCTGCTCTCTGCAAATAAATATTTCTATATTACTCATAACTCTTCCAATAGGCCAGACTAACAAACAATGATCAAATACCAGTATACACCAAAAAGGTATTAACTTTTCACATAATAAAATATAGTAGATACTGAAAATTACCTTTCACTCGACTATTTTAATTATATTTTTAATTTTTCTACTTTGTTTAACGTCGAAAACAATTTACAATTCTATACTATCTACAACTTTATTTTTCACGTGAATTCAAAATGTATCTAAAAATCTGTCTTGTTTTCTAAAATGAGGAAAAATTATCATGCAAGCGAAAAATTTCCTTTAAGATAAATACAAATGATTATCACGAACATCTCTGACAGAAAAGTGGAATTTCTGTATGAAAATCAAAACTATCTGCAATTTTGCCTAATTTCTCAACAAAAAATTAAATTATATACCTGCAGATCAAGGAACTTGTTGTAATGATTGTTTGTCATCTCTAAATCTGTCAGAGCTTCCCCTGTGTAATCATTTATTTGAAAGTCTGTGTAGAATTTCAACATGTCCAGCAACTAGAAAATAATGTCATGTGTCTCAATAAGCAACATGCAATTCTGAGCTCTAAATTCTTTCGCATTATTAAAATCCATGACTTTTTATACACTGTCAAATTCTTCCAAACTATAGCACTATTGACAATTTAAATTGCTATTTTAAAGATTGTAATTAATATAATTGTAAAGACTGCTGAGTGAATGTATCTGTCTAAAAGACCAGTAGTGCACCACATGGTCTCCTGACGAGGAAAATGTTCTTGTTTACATTTAATAGTAAATGTAAAACTGACCTTCCTTCTTAAAACAAGTTGTAACTGGGCTGAAGTTAGGATCAAAAAGAGATGACAAAATTGCAGTTACATCAAAAGACTTATATCAAATCAAATGACTTACACTGAAAGCAAGTACTCATCACTCACTTGAGAAAATAATTTTCCTTCCTCCCTCTTTCCAAGCTTTGCGAGCATACACCTTACAATAAAGTGATGGTCATCAAGGAGCACATTGAAAAACCTGCGAGTTGGCAGCAGAGATTCCAAACCAATAAGTAACTCCAGAAACCTCTCACAGTACATCACTTTGTCCCTTGACAAGTCACCTGGAAAATTTTCCACAATAATTGAAATTTTCATCTCAGACATCTCAGTATAATGGCTAATTAATAATAATAATAATAAATTAAGGTTTTTAGCTACTATAAAGAACTTACCTGTTTCCGGTATAGATTCTAAGATTGTGTAGAACTTGTGTATCAGACGGGACAGGAAACATCTTTCATTTGTAGCCTTTTCTAGAGCAGCTGCATCTAGTTTAGCATCTTTTTTTTGTATGACTTTCCAAAATTTCTTCATCTTTGGAAACTTTTTGAAAATCTCATCTCTGCGTCCCTATGAGAGTGATGACATTTTTTTGCTCTTATTTGATCATATACACCCTTATGTACAAGTAGGATAGACCGCTTACACAAAGACCAAAAACCCATATCTTAAAGAATACATTAAAAAACACAGAAATAAGCTCAAGCTCATTCAGTATTTTCACACTGTGTAAACAGCATAACAAAAACAATTATTATTTATAGTATGTGACAATTGTTAGCAAAATATCACAAACAGATAAAAGGCCTTTAATAGAAATGATTGAAGTTCTTTTTCAGCTAAATAACCAAAACTAAAATGAGGTTTGTTAAAGTTTCATACACAAAAAAAAATTGCTGATAGTTACTTACAGTCAGGATGCTGGCCCACATAGTAAGTGAGACGATACTCTGAAATTGCTCTCGTATTAGGTCAACTTCCTAAAAAATATCAATCAGTATTGAAATCAAGAAACATGCTTTTAACTGTTTACTGTAATAAAGAATTTATGCTACACCACTATACACGAGAATAAATCTATTTTTCATGAGTAATGACTATATTAAATTAGAATTTTCCACACTCATATTTCCTCTTTCATTAAAAAAGGTGATTAAATGGCAAAAAAATTAAGAAAGAAACAAATAAAAAAAATCAATATATATATATAAGATTCACTGCTGCTGCCAAACTATTTTCAGGCTGTGTGCAGGTGGACATTAATTACTCACCACACTGTTAAAGCAGTGATTCAGGAACACCAAGAGAACCGTTTGTTCTCTAAGCGTAAGATCATCTGCCAGAGATGTTGCCATGACCCGACTGAAGAAACCTCCAAATTTATCTGGAAACTTCTGAAACGCCTTGAAAAATAACAGCAGAATACATAAAGAACATGCCAGCAACAACTTTTTCTATTTCTGGGGAAATCTTAAAAAAGAAAAAAACTCATAAAATATAATCCTACAACAATAACAGACATTTTTTGACAATGAATAGGTTAAAAAACTCTTTTCAAGCATCAACATTCGTCACAAATAAAAAAGTGACGAATCCTTAAGATAAAATCAATTTTTCAATAAAGTGCCACAATCTAAAAAGAAAAAAATAAAAAAATATTTATTTCAGCTGAATTACATTTATCCTTAATCTACAATGCTCACATCCAAAATAAAAAAATAATTAACAGATGTTTATTTACCTCCCAGGCTGGGACTCTTTCCCTGAATTTTTCATTCACCATGACACAAATGGTCAAAATGTGAGCACGGCTTGCCTAAAATGAAAATAAATTACAACATTTATGTCAAATTGAATACTATGCCAAGCACAGTCAAAGACCTACACTAAAATTAAATTTACTCCATTTCATAACCATCCCATTTTTCAATTTCCTTTCCTGCTGGCATAATTTTTGTTTATATCAAATAATTCCTTATTATCACATCAGGTACAATAGAAAGTGTACATTTTCAGGATCATGGAAAAACTGTGAAACATGCACTAATTATTGGGTGAACCAAAATAAATGAACAGAAATACCTTGTCTTCAGTGAAATTTGGCCAAAGATAGTTTTCCAAATATTGACTGAAAATACAATTAAACAAAAACTTAATTTTATGCAATCATAACATATTTATTAAAACTTTGGCTATGTAGGGAATAACTAACAATAACAACGATGCCTAACAACGATGTTTGGAAATGGTAAATTTATTTTCATAAAGTATTTTCTAATAAGTGCTGATGTTCAATATTAAATAATGGTACTTACTCATAATATTAAATAAAAATGACATTTCCAAACAATATTTCCAAAAACAATGATCGATCTAATACCCAGTTCAGGAGATTAAGAAGTTCCAAATTGAATTCATGTAAAAAATGATTTTTTTGAGAGAAACTGAAAAATGATAACCCTCAAAAATGGAATAAATGAAGCATTTAAAAACTTATGAAATATAAAGATATATAAATAAATACCTGAATTCCAACATCATAGTCCTTCTCATGGCAAACCTGCAAAAAAGTTCAGACATTAAAGAAGTGTAAAAAGATGACACCTAAATACAATTTTATTTGACTGGGTTGCCATCATACATTATATTCCTGGATTCAATTTCTTTCATATGAGACATGTGACTTTGCTTTCTTTAAAAATGTGATTGAAAATAAATACACTTTCTCAAGAATGCCTATACATTATGCATTAAACGATGACAAGCAATCTGTATTATTTAATGCTTTTTTTCAATATGTTCAAATTGAAAACTTACTTTGTTCCAAGAATCTCCTTCTGATAAATGTCATCTATTATCTGTAAAAAATATTATCAGTTATGTCAAATCCACTGTTTACACCAAAAAATAATTCAACAAGTTTCTGTCATATTCCAGATATGCTGAAACTGCTGGTGCTACAATTTATAACTGATAAAATTTCAGTCTCGTAGAAAATAATGTTTAGTTGGTCTTAGCGACTGGCAAAAATTATAAAAGCCAACATTTTGATTTTGATTTTAGCCATTTCTTTGTGACAGGCAATTTTTATAATGAATTTCCAACTGCTTTGAAAAGTTTTCAACACGTATGTTATGTAATCTCAAACTGGCAACTTATCTGTAGTGGTTTGGTGTAAAACAACGGACAGCAGAAAATACCATACAAACCACAGTACTTTATATATAATCTTTGTGATCTATGTTATATATTATATATACAGCAGCTGGGCTATATCCTCCCCAGGGAGGTGAGGACATCTACACCCAGTTTGTGTCAGGGCCAAAAATGATTAGGCTTCCAATGTAAACCGCACTGAGATGCATATGGAGTGCAGTATACAAGAGCTTAACTTTACTTTCACCTTTTTTTCAACAATTACACATATATTTAATGCAAATTCCAATGACAACAAATCTTTAACAAGTTAGGTGATTTACCTTAGGATTAAAAGGCAATCTTGTGGCTCCTCTTTGTGGAGACCAATACTGGTTGGCCAACTAAAATATCACAAAATAAATTAATGTATCATACATGACAATATTAAACATATGCTTTACATAAAGAAAAATTATGCACAAAATTCTTAGCTAGATCAGTTCAACATATAAATAAAACATTACAAAAATTTTGGTAGTGGAGAGGGGCATATAAATTATCCTCACATAATCTTAAATATTCTCTGTAATTTATATCAAAAATTGTCATTTCCAGAAATTTGGTAGAGGAGGGGATAACATTTAACATGAAACAGGCTTTTTTTTGTTTACTAATGTAAGACTTTTCTTTTTTAACTAAAAATTATGCCTTTAGCTTATGTCAACATGCATGCGTACTAGCAATCACTTTCCAACACATTCTTCACAATAGCAGTCATCTGAAGATAACCCTTAGAATGGTGAAAATGAACATAAAACACAAGTGCACTCAATTTAATTCAAATGATTTTTTATCAACAACTAATAAATCTTTAATTATTGTAAACACAATGTTGGTTAGTCAACTAAAGTAAGTGTACTTCTTTACCTGTGTTATTATATCAGATTGTATTTGCTCAACTGTAGGAGCTGGACCTTTGGCCTTCTTTTCCCCAGGCCCTCCTTGCAAATGAGGGTCCATCTGAAATACATCATTCTTTTGTATTAAAGGTAAACTATCATGAGATTTTCCCAGAAAACAAACTTTAAAACCTCTTTCCTGCCACTGGACATAATTCTTATCAAGGAAAATTTAAAAAGCCTACGCCTTGGTTAACCACTTTTTTCAAACTCTACTGCACACCACAGTAACACTTAGTCTAACTGTCCAGAACAGGCTACGGTATTTGGCAGAGCCTGAGGAGGTGATGTTTAGTTAAAGTGCAAAAAGGCAAAATCCTTGAAACAAAGGTAATAAATGACCTCTAATCAAGCACTTAAAATGAGTGTACTTACGACTGCTCAGAATATAGGTCAGTTTCTATATAAGCTCGAACATTTGCTGTGAACAATTATTACCTCCACATTTACAACAAATTTAGAGCGTGATTCCGCGAAGTGGTTTACCGGAAACTGTATCATTCCATATAAAACCAGACTCTTTTGAAATACCGTGGTTTTATAGCGCACAAACATAATGTTTATAGCTCATGAAATATCCTTAATTATATAAAAATACTAATCTTTATTGCTCTTCTGTATGTATATTATCTAATAGGTTTACATGAAATAAACGGCAGATTAAATTAACTGTTGTTTAATGCAGAAATGCACTTTCCATTCTTGCAGAATGCTGTGATCAACCCAAGATGAGCCACGTGGGATTTTCAACATTTAAAACAAAGAAGTCAGACGACGAGTTTTCAGTATATAGAAGACTGAAATAGTGAAGTTAATTAAAGTTTCGTCTAGTAACAGTAACCAAGTAGTTGATTAACCTTTTAAAAACGGATCGAACACTAATGAATGAGTACCTTTTCTTAACATTACATTAAAGGATTTAAGGGCGAGTTTTCCAGGTCACCGGTGTTGTAACTTTATACAGAAGGCTTGCAGGGCGCGGGCTTGCAAATGTGCCATTGTTGAAAAATCACCTTACAAAGACGCGGTACCTTTGTTTTCCGACCACCCTTCTTCCCCCTTTTCATTTTTTTCTGTACCCTTGGACTTGCAGCTGATAAAGGTCACTTACTTGTTGACTGAAAGGCGCCTATTCTGCAACCAGTCCACCTTCCCCTCTAGAAATTTGCCTTTAAATAACAAGTTTAAGGTGAAATTGCTTTAATAGAACTAGACTAAGTTTTACATTGAAAACTGAGACAAAGCATCTGCCAGACTTAATTGGCTTTGGAAAATTCAGGGTCTTACTCCATTTTGCTATTGCAGTGCAACGTTTAATAAACAGCGTCCCTAAATTGCACAGTACACCAAATTGTGTAATATAAAAGCAAAATTTGTTATTACATGATTAGTATCATTGAAACAACTTAACAAATTAGCACAATTTGCTTATTGTCCGGTCAGCTGCATGTGGGCTTGTGGCTCTCCTTGGCTGGTAATATTGCCATGAAGAGCCACTAGCCAACATGGCAACTGACTCACAATTTAGAGACACTGTCCTGCTCTCTGTTAATTGAAGTTGTAACCTTAACAAAAACTGTAATGAATAGGTTTTAAACAGGAGTTCTATTTCCAAAAATGTTAAAAAGTGAAAATGTAAGTATTTATAAGTGATCGAATGATCATATCACAGTAGCACGGAATTCATGTGCATGTGCAGGTCTATGGGCCGATCGAGTGGAACGATCTCCCTATTTATTTAAAAACAATATAGTCTGAGGACAATTAAAAAGAATTAAAAACTTATATCTTCAAAAAGTTTTACAATTGATTTGACTGGCTGTTGTCTTTTACACTGTACAGTTTATTTTTGATATCTTATCAATTCAATTGTATTTTAGTTCACATCTTTAGTTCATATCTTATTATTTTAACTACCTTTTCATTATTTTAGTCATCTGATTCTGTTCATTTTACCCATGTAAAGTCTACTGAACATTTTATATATGGATTTTAGACTATAAATAAATATTATTATTATTATTGTAAGCACTACTATTTACAGTTTCTGATGTGTGCACTGTGCCAATCCACGAAAGCAATGGCCTCAAAAGGTGTAAATTGAGACCAGTTTGTGCATCCACCATGATGCAGGAGCCTGGGTCAACATATTTCTTTTTTTTTCTGTCCTTTGACAGCTTAGTTGTCTAAATACTTGTTCATATTTTGTCCCATCCCTTTAAAAGAATGAATTTGACAAGTGAAACTAGAGGATCAGAGAGGCGATACCGCCTCCGAATATTGTACCACCAGCTGGAGTAAGCGCATTCGTATGGAAACCCTCCCCCCCCCCAAAAAAAAGGGAAACCAGTCTTGTGCTTGAAAAGCTCTATAAAATGAAATCAACAAGAGTTCTCAAAATATGCAAAAAAATATAACTAAAAATGGTACAATCAAGCAGATTTTTATATTGACCTGCATTTTCCTACCATTGATCACTCATGTGATTCTCTAGACAAAAGGCCTATTGGTTTTCCTTGAAATGTGTTGTCAGTGGTGCATATATGCTGACAAAAGAGAAAACCTAGGGGCAACACCGGGAACATCTCTGCTAGCTTTGAAGATATGAGGGGCAAGAAAATATACAAAGCTCAGTTCATGGTGAAAAAGTAGGTCCAATGTCAATTTCAATATCATTGTATATGAATTTCTACTCAAGTTCAATAGTAACCATGGGCATTTCTTTGCCAATTTTGCAGATTTAAAGGCCAGAAAAAATGCAAAAACCAGTTCATCATAAAAAGGAGGTCAAAGGTCAATTTCAAGGTCACAGTAAAATTACTAGTATAAAACTTCCTATTCAACTTCAATAGTAACTATGGACCTATCTCTGCCAGTTACG